CCACAACCGCACACGCATGATTCTGATCTAGGACACAAAAATACTGATGATTGATCAATTATTTGCTAACCAAGCATCAGTTGACTTTCTCTGCTGATTATACCAGAAATTCCTTTGGAATCAATGAGGGCCGATTCATGCATCCATGGGAAAATAATTTAGTACCAAATAATATGAGATAGATGACTTCATTGTTAAACACGGATTTATCATATCTGTAACTTCAAATGAAAGCAAATCATAAACTCATAGCAGTCTCGCTCAACATAAAACTATCAAATGCTAAATTTAGAGCAGCAAAATTGTGAGTAATTAGGATTAATCAATCAGAACACCATAAAACAAACTAGTTTTTACTTTAAAAACAAACACCACAAGCATCATAGCATAAAAGATTACATAGGCTAAAAGAATCAAAAACCCTCCCCATGGGCTACAACAATCAGAAAATCTATCACCTCTTCCTTTTCTTATTTCCGGCAACACCACCTTTATTAAACCCTCCGACAGCATCAGTGGTGTCTGCAGTGTTCTGCTTCTTCATGCCTTTTCTCCCTCCAAATCCAAACTTTGAATTTTTAAACTCTTTACCCTTCCTTTTCTTATCCATTCCTTTCTTAAACTTTCCACCACTTTGTCTCGCCTTCCCACCTGACCGGTCTCCTGGAGCCACACCTGGCCGTCTCTTATTTGACCTCTCAAATGATTTGCCATCTTCGAAGGCCAAACTCAAGTCGCCATCATTGACATCACCAGCAAACCCGCTTTGTTGTCTTTGCTTCCTCCATTTCTTAACAGATTCAATATCTTCCTTTTTCTGCTTGGCTCTCTCTTTCGTCTTCTGGGCCTGAATCTCTTTAGATAGTTTCTTGGCCTCTCTAGCCTTCTTTCTCTCCTCAGCCTCCTCAATCTCCTTCTGTTCTGCAAGAAGTCGGCGCTTTACCTTCTCCATGTGAACATCTGTCTTAACCATTTCGGCATAATAGTCAGCTGGCCTAAGAAACGGTAATCCCATTGACTGAAGCTTCTCAAAGGCCAGCCTTGTTCCCTCTAGTGCCTGTGTGTAGAAAGATGCCTCTCTTTTTAAGTCATCATTCACATCCACCTCTTGCTCTTGATTAATATCTATGGAAAGCTTGTGTATCCATCCAACATCTTCTGGCCAACTAATATCTTGAAGTTTTTCCTCAAGACCCTCTCTATTGTATACAGCCTTTTTTGATGGTTCAGCCAATTTAACATCTCCGTCTTCGTCTTCTTCTGAGTCCAATTCTGGTTCTGGTTCTGATTCTGATTCAGACACTTCCTCATTGAGATCACTCATTTCCTCATCCTCAATTTTATCCTCATCAAACAAAGCTGGTTCTCTATTAGGCTTACCCATTAAAAAACCCTACAAAATAAAAAGGAAAATACAAAATCAACATTCAAACTCAAGGGAAACTTGAGAGTACAATCTAGCATTTGTTTATCAAGATATTATACATATAATTAAACATAAAATATTCTAGCAATCAAGCACATTCATCAAAGAAACACCAGCTAGGTTCTATTGTGTATCGTTCAAGATTGCTTCCGCTAAACAAGTCTAAATTAGAACCGATTTACTTCTTCAAGGAAGAACAACACTCAATTAAACATTTAAAAAATCATAAGTTCATTACACATAGATGTGATTACATTCAAAGGTATAAATTATTCACCTCCTACATACGGGTTATTGGGTTCAATTTTTCGTTTAAGCAGCACCAAAACAACTAAAAATCGAGAATTGTCCTCGAAACAAACTACAGTTAGCTCAATACTCCGTTTGGCTAACAAGAAAGAAACTCCCTCCCCCGCGCATTCAAACATGAATAACGAACAAAATCCGAAGCTCTGTGATAATTATTCTTTCTTCAGGTCATGCATACACTAAATTAGGATTGGAATGAATACTTTATAATCTAAAACAGAGAAATAAGAAAGAAAAATACCTCTTTGTTGCGGCCTGTCGAAACCCCGATTAAACCCTAGTTCTGCTATGAGAAAGTGGAGCTTCAACTACTAAAAACAACGGTGGAGGGACTTTTGCGTGTATAACTTTGACAATGGATCAGGCCTGATATCCATGGTCCAGCCCATTAAAAAGGGCTTCTTTAAGTGAACCCATCTGATAATTGCCCGTTTCGAAAAATAATAGCCCAACAATGAGCACCCAAAACACTCTCCTGTTTGGTACACTTTTCAAGTCGAGTAATGCTATCTACACTAACCAAATTATACTAATCCGAGTACTAACTATTGAAATTTTAAAAAAAAAAATTCTTTGTTTTTGAGGGGAAATGACATGGCAATAAGAGAGGCCTGCTACGTCAGTTAGTACCTGGGTTGTATGGTTTTTGGTTAGTACATATAGCATTGTTCTTTCAAATCTCTATTTCTCTTAGGGTAATGCTATTTGTACAAAGAGAGTCTGTACAAACTCACGTGACATGTCACAAAGCATGTCATATGGCAATGGAGCCTATATAACTTAATGTCACATTAATGTTATGTAGGCCCTCATGTCACGTGGCACTCACATGAAGTGTCACGTTATTTTGTACAAACTCTTTTTGTACAAAGAGTTTATACAAATAGCTTTATCCTTTCTTTTATCCTATCCTATCGTAGAAAGTAAAAAACATATTTGTTTCTCTATTCACGGAATTCAATTCAAAATTCAATTATATTATATTCAACTCAAAGCATACAATTACTTTTTATAATAAAAGTTTATAAATTAACAAAAATATCCCCACCCACCCAAACCACTATCGGCTACCAGCAACCATCATCGGCTACCAGCCGCCACCGTTAGAATGATGCATGATTGGCTGGATCTAGTCGATTTGGCCGAAACGGCCAAATTTTGACTGTTTCCAGCTAGGGGTGTTCAAAAGTTCGGTTAACCGCTTTTCTAAATCGAATCGGATTTCGGTTCGGGAAAATTTATGAACCGAACCGGTTTTTCGGTTAACCACTTTTGAACCGGTGTTCCTTTTTTTTATAAAACTTTTTTTTTTTTTAAAATTTTGTCCTAAATTAAATTGTAAATATGGACAATACATTGGGAACTAAGAAAAAAAATTTGGGTTGGGATTTTAGATCGAGTGAATTAGGGATTTATTTTAGTTTAGGTTATTATTTATTTATTTAATATAATATATATATATTTGAAAAACTGGTTTAGAAAACCGGTTTTTGGTTAATCGTTTTTAATTTCTCCCAAATCGGTAACCGAACCAAAAATTCAGTTTTTTGAATTTTTCGAACCGTAACCAAACCATTTTTTCGGTTAACCGGTTTTTCGATTCGATTAGCGGTTCGGTTCGGTTTTTACATTTTTTTGAACACCCCTATTTCCAACCATATACACGATGGATTTAGTCAAAAAAGGTCAGATAGGTGCACGACAGACCAGGTCTAATTGGTCGTGCACCATTCCGATGACTATCGACCATAGTCTGATGGTGGTAACAGACTGTCAGGTAGGGATATTTTTGTTAATTTATAAACTTTTATTATAGATGAGTATTTGACTAAATTAACAAATATATAGTGTTAAAAAATAATCTAAATACTTTTAGAAAATATTTTTCAAAAATATACCAAACACATTTTTAGATTCTATCATATTTGTTTTAGCCTTCGTTTGGTTCGCTTTTAGGAATATTATTATTAGTATTTCCAAAAAAGTTAAATGTCATTATTCTCAAAATATTATTCTATATTTTTTAATTTTTTTTAAACCTCTTAAATTTGTTAATTTAACTAAACACCCCTAAATATTTTTTTTAAAAATTACAAAAATACTCCGGCTACCTTCCGGTGGTGGTGGCCAACTGTTCGTATTTAATGAGTGGGTTATTAGTGTTTTTGTTAACTTTTAATATTTTATTATAAGAGTATTTAGTAAATAAACAAACATAGGAGATATTTTTGTTAATTTCTAAATCCTATGTCATAATATCTATCGAATTTAATCTTTTTTTAAATTATTCTAAAAACTATTAAAATTTTAAATTATTCTAAAAACTATTAGAATAATAAACTAAACAGAGCCTTAATTTTTTACTTATCATGTTTAGAATAGTTTTTGATAATATCATATTTTAAATATTCTACCAAGCAGGCCTGGTACTGCTTTTGTGAAACATCCTGAAGTCCCAAAATTGCCCTTATTTTCAATCATGAATTTCTTGTGACGAGGAACCCAATTACCGCATCCGCACCGCATATTCCTTCTCGTGCGCTTCCTCAAGGGCCCACTATGGTCCCCAAAAGCAATCACTACCATCCACGTCACCCTAGTTTTTCCACCAACTCGTGATAGATGCATGCATGCATGCTATGCACGTGCCTACCTCTTCAAATAAACCCCCGGTTCCAAGACCGCACACTTCGGTAATTCTAGTTATTCTCTGAGAAGTGAGAACTAAACCTCGTTGAGATCGAACCAACAACACAATGGCCACCATTAAGGTTGTCAAAGCTCGCCAGATCTTCGATAGTCGTGGAAATCCCACCGTTGAAGTATGTTTCATTCCATTTCGATCACTCTCACCCGTCTGATTTTATTTTATTTTTCTTTCGGGTTATGAAATTAAGAAAATTTTTAGAAACTCTTTTCCACTGTTATTGGATTTTCCAATATTTATCTACGGATTAGGTTGCGTTTGGTTGATGAGAAAATGTAATAAAGAGAGTAATTTGATTGTTTTTGTTCACTTAACTAAAGCCAAAACACTGCCTATGACTTGATATTTAGGAATGCTGAAAGTGAATGTTGGGTTAATGAAATTAATAACAGGTTGATGTGATTCTCTCCGATGGAAGTTTTGCTAGGGCTGCTGTGCCAAGTGGTGCTTCAACTGGTAATTCTAGTTGTTTTTATTTTTTTATTTTTTTTTTAAGTAGTAGTTTTCTATGTTGAGCATGGAGCAATCAACTTTTTGGTCGGTTATATTTTATCTTTTACTTTCTTAAAAATATAGTGAGCATATTTATTAGTAAGTATAAGTATATGCAGTTGTTTACTCTTATTTGATGGATCATAAAAGGTGTCTACGAAGCACTGGAGTTGAGAGATGGAGGATCTGACTACCTTGGGAAAGGTGTTCTCAAGGTATGTGATTTATTTGTATGAATTGACCTTTCTAAAAGAGGATCAAGAACAATAAATTAAAATGTGTGATTTGAACATTTTACACTATAGTCTGTTTGTTATTAAATCGAAAATTAAGGCTTCTTAGTCATGGTATGTATTTTCAGGCAAAAATCTAAGTGGGTTTTTCTCTATCTTTGTGTTTTTTGTTTTTTCTCAGGCTGTGCAGAATGTGAACTCAGTCATCGGTCCTGCCTTGGTTGGCAAGGTAATAGATGAAATTTTATATATCATTTACTCTTTTAAGATTGACTGATGGGATGAAAGTAATGTGATATTGTTGTTTCTGAATACCCAGGACCCAACAGAGCAGACTCAAATTGACAATTTTATGGTGCAACAACTTGATGGTACAACTAATGAATGGGGCTGGTGCAAACAAAAAGTATATATTATTTCATTAATAATTCTTTTGATTTGGCCTTAGCAGCTCCAGTATCATTTCAATTCATTAATCCGTTATGAAATGTTTCTTTTTTCTTCTGTTTCTTGTTTAGCTCGGAGCTAATGCTATATTGGCAGTATCTCTTGCTGTTTGTAAAGCAGGTCTATGTGAAAGATCCCTCTTTACAAGGTATATGAGGTGTTGGTGCAATTGTCTGCTTTAATTTCTACATGTTACATAGATTCACTAATATCTGTCTTTAATTTGCAGCACATTGCAAATCTTGCTGGGAACAAGACATTAGTCTTGCCTGTTCCTGCATTCAATGTCATCAACGGTGGTTCCCATGCGGGCAATAAGCTGGCAATGCAGGTAATGTTGGTGTAAGAACTTTTTTACTATTTTAAATCCCCTTCTTTGGTTGAAGTTCTTGCAGTTTTCTTCTTGTGTAGGAGTTTATGATTCTCCCTGTTGGAGCGTCTTCTTTCAAGGAGGCAATGAAAATGGGTGTTGAAGTATATCATCACCTAAAGGTGATTTTTTTTATTTTTTAAGTGCTTTTAATTTTGTGTTGCTGCTTGAAGTTACAATTATTTTCACGCCCATCATGTTAAACTACACTTATATGTTCTTATAGGCTGTAATCAAGAAGAAGTATGGACAAGATGCTACAAATGTTGGTGATGAAGGCGGCTTTGCTCCAAATATTCAGGTCGATAATTGTTCATATTATCGGTATTTTTGTTCTTGCTATCATTTTCTTCTTCATGAAAGACTACTTGCTATAACTGCCTTTTTCTTTTTCTGGGGTTTCAAAAGCTTTGTGTATGATATATTCAGTATTGTCCTTTTACAATAAGAAGAGAACGTGAAGACAATGTCTGAATTACAGGAAAACAAAGAGGGCCTTGAATTGCTGAAGACTGCCATAGCAAAAGCTGGATATACTGGAAAGGTTAGTGTAATTTTGCATCGTTACTTATCTCATATATGTATACAATTTTTCCTTGTTACTTAACCATTCTTTAGGTGGTGTGATAGTTTATAATCTAATTCCTGGATTTTGTTGTTAGGTTGTTATTGGAATGGATGTTGCCGCTTCAGAATTTTATGATAGCAAGAATAGGACTTATGATTTGAACTTCAAGGAAGAGGTAGTCCATTTATTGCATAAGTAAAATTTATTTTACTTGTGTACAACTAGATGTTTCTTATACATGCAGGTTGACACAAATAATCAATATATGATGGTAAATTAAATAGCTGAGAAAATGAAACTCATTCTGCTGCAGAACAATGATGGATCACAAAAAATATCGGGGGACAGTTTGAAGAATGTATACAAGTCATTCGTATCAGACTATCCAATTGTGTCCATTGAGGACCCATTTGATCAGGATGATTGGGAGAACTATGCAAAGTTGACTGGTGAAATTGGACGGCAAGTGCAGATTGTCGGTGACGATCTCCTTGTCACAAACCCAAAGGTAAATTTTTTCACAATTTGAGCTAATCTGAGGTAAGATATATGTTAAAGGTTTAACATTAAATCTCTGGCTGCTGCAGCGTGTGGAGAAAGCTATTAGCAGTAAGGCATGCAATGCTCTTTTGTTGAAGGTAGTACTCAACACTCTTTTCTTTTTGAAGGAGGATCTAGACTTGGAGATAATGTTGTAGTTTAATGTATTAGTAGCGTTTGGCTCATAGAAATTGACTTCCAATATATGAATCGTCAGGTGAATCAAATTGGTTCCGTTACTGAAAGTATCGAGGCTGTGAAAATGTCCAAACACGCTGGCTGGGGTGTTATGGCAAGCCACAGAAGGTATGACATGTTCTTGTATCCAGCTCTTTTAATAAATTTCCAGTGTTTGTAGCAACATATGTGACGCGGTTCTCTTTGTTCAATGTAGTGGTGAAACAGAGGATACATTTATAGCAGACCTTTCGGTTGGATTGGCAACTGTGAGTGTTCTTTCCAAGCCAATGCTTTAAACTCGTTATCTATATGTCGGATTTGGAACAGAACCTGTTTTTATGGGTTTTTTTTTTTTTTTTTTTCAAGAATTTCCGGGTTGGAGATACTTTGAATCTACACGATACTATAAAGATTTTTAAGACCTAACATACACCTTGTAATGTGTACTACATATATGTTGATTAGGAAAATTTTACTTTGGAAAAAGCTCTAGTTGAAAGTGACATCAACGTCATCGGTTTACGAGTCTCTTGTTACTTACATGCATTTGTTAAAACAGGGTCAGATCAAGACTGGAGCTCCTTGCAGATCAGAACGCCTTGCCAAGTACAATCAGGTATAGGACAATCACTTGCTACTTTTTGGTCATGAAAATATTTTCAACTCTTTTTCTCAACATCCACTTAAAACATTATAGTCTGGCATTTCATTTGGTTCAACTAAGTATTTGTGGTTTTGAATTGCTGCTTCTTAGGATAGAAGAGGAGCTTGGATCTGCAGCAGTTTATGCTGGTGCGAAATTCAGAGCTCCAGTTGAACCATACTAAGGCCATCAATAGTCTCTCTATGCATTAGGTCTATATAATATCGTGGAAATAATATCATCCGCGGGATCTTGATGGTTATGGTTTGTTTAACTACTCTAGATCACTTTTCATCAAAGTCAATGACATTTAGCAGACGATTTTATTTTATTTTTTTTGGAGTTCTTCGTAATATTGTTGTGGCGGTGTTTTGTTACATGAAATTTCAAAGACCCTAATGAATGGCTACGTGTTTCCATAAACATCTGCTCTTGTTGAGGGAACAAATGACATTTTGCAGAGGCAAATGCGAGGACCTATGAATTGGAGATACTTATGCCTTTGGTCAAGAACAAAATCTACCCCATCAAATGCAGCAAATATACTAACGTGAAACTGTCGATGCAAAGACTTAATTATCCTCAACCTCAAGTCGTCTAATTATGGAGGCATCATTGCCAAGGAGAACCATTTTCTTCTTTTCTGGTTGAAATATTTTTAAGGGAAACTTTGAATGACAGTCGTCTGATCACAATGCAAATATTTGACACTAGGTGCAGCAACTGATTTCAATTGTTAATTCATTTAACATCATCGTTTTGCCAACATTGTGAATGCTGGATCAAACTTATCAAAAGCAAAGAACCTCTTCCTGTCTGCCCAAGGAGTTTATGGAACCATTTTAGTATCTTAACTATTGCTAGTAAAAAATGTTATATGTTCTAACCACTATTTTAAAACCTAGATCGGATGGTTGGATCGGATCAGTCGGTCCAACTGGGACCTAACAACCTCTCCGAGTTACCATTTCCACTATTCATAAAACCTCTAATTTGATTGCCGACAAACAAGGGGCTAACAAGTGCCGGGATTAGAGGGCTTTTGTAAAGTAGAGGTCGATGGTTCAAGGGGTGGTGTCAAATTGAATTTTGGACTTCGAAATCAGTCGAATTTGGCCAAAAAATTCAACCCAATATGCAAGTCATGACTAGCGAACAGAGGGCTATCAAGTGTCGGGGTTAGAGGGTTTTGTAGAGTGGAAAACAGTGGTTTAGGTGGTGGTGTCGGATTGAATTTTGGCCATCGGAATCAACCTGAATTTAGTTGAAAAAATCAAACTCAAACAAATCACTGTAACCTACAAAGACTAATTCGTATTTTTCAGGAGTGTGTTTGAAAGATTTCAAAATTTTTGGATCATCGGCAGACCACCAATTTAACCAATCGGACCAATAAACTCGAGTAGTGACGGATCCAAGAATTTCACTCTATGGGGACAACAAAAAGTTACAAAATACAAATAAATAGCTTCAAAAAACACAATTTTTGTAAAAATAAAATATTTTTTCTACAATTGTCCACAATGAGTTTTCATATTTTGAAAACGTTGGATAATCATCTCATCGTCAATTGTATTAAATATATCTTTCTCAATATAGGTGACCAAGTAATCATTCATCCATTGATCTCCCATTTGTGTGAATATTGCCCTTTTATTTTTTGTTATATTGTCTGTGTGTATGTGCTTATGTTGTTTTTGGGCATAAAGTAACTTTATTTTGCAAATGTTGTTCATTCTGGATTATATTGCAAATGATTTTGTTATTAATTATTATGTGACTTTTTTTTTTTGTTTTTTAATTTGTAATCAGAGGAAAACAGCGTGACATTGGGGCTATTTTTTAATTTGCGGCAAAGCTGCATTCCTCGCTGGAAATCGACGACGACGACGACATTCCTCACTAGAAATCGACAACAGCACAACTCCATTTCAGAAAGTGTAAGTTTTGCATGAGTCATGACCCCTTCAATTTTTGCAGATCTAGTACTTTCCTGCTGTCAATAGGGGAAATCTAGGTTGAGAAACATCTATGGAAATGTTCTCTAAGGAGTAGCTCAGTAGCGAATAATCCAAATTAATTTACAAATTTGTTATGAAATTGATTGTTGAAATCTAGGTTTTAAGATATTCAATTTGCTTGTGTCTAACCAAGCTATTATTTCGTTTATGTTTTACTCATTTAATCTTTGATTGATACTAGAATATTTTGCCAGTAAAAAGAATTTTCTACAATATTAAAGAGAGTTACATGAATGTATGTGTATACCAAAGAGCTCTTGCAACTGTGTTGTAAAAATTGTATGAAAGTGTTTGTAAAACTTGTATTAAGCTATTCAATATTCATACGCATTTTGCAGATGATAGTGATGGTTATGATGATGATGACGGTGGTGATGATGATGAATTTTGATGCTAGTATATGAAACTCAATCAACATGGAGATGGATCAAAGAAAAAACACTTGTACCGAAAGTTTTGTTATTAATTATTATATATTTTTTTTCATTTAATATGTAATGGATGAACACAACATCATGTTTGAATTTGGACTTTTGATTGTTGTTAAATTATATTAGGATTGTTATTTGAAAGTTGTTAAAAAATGAAAATCTGAGATTCTTAGAAAAACAGGTTGGACCAGTTAACGCATAACCCAGGCAACAAACCGGTTGCCCTCCAATCCAGGTTTTAAAACAGTGAAAAATACCCAAATTTCTCCCCTCAGTTAAATGCAAACCCAACAACTTTAATTCCTTTCATTTTCACTATAATAAAACTTTTACAAACTAACAAATCCTCTTGCATAAAAATAAAAATCACAAAAAATATGAAACATATACAATAGGATTTTAAACGGGGATTTTACAAAAACAAAATCTGAACTTACCATGAAGGTTGTTGCGTTCCCAAAATCTCAAAGCTCTGCAAGGGCAAAATTTAAATAAATATAAAATCTAAAAAAATTTCAAAAGTAGTCCCCATTCGTCATTAATTGGATCCACCACTGAACTCGAGACCCAATGGTTTTACTGGGTCCCTAAACCGGTCGGGTTTAAAAAAAATGGTTCTAACATGTTGGAAAATGTGCTGCTGTACACAAAATTTGTGCTTACAGAACCACCGTCTCACAAAGCCCATTGGAACATATGATGAGGGTGAACTTTTACAATTGCCCAAAAAAACAAAACCCTATAGATGTCTTTAAACAACAAAGTTCCGGTCGGCTACTATAACAGCAAAGAACTTCAAATCTGGAGCAAAGAAAAAAAGGAGCCCAACTATCGAACATCAACCAACTCCACGTCGAACACAAGCCACGAATTTGGTGGTATCTTTCCCCCGGCACCTTTTGCCCCATAACTGCATAGAATTACAAGCAAATACAAATACACTTAAGCTGGGAAAAAAATGATGAAGAAAAATCAATAGCTAACAATTAGGATATCAAAAACAAGGAATGAAACCAAAAAAAAAAAAAAATTATTGGGAAATGCAATGAATAGATGAACACTAAAAATAATGAGCACCAAGATTGGCGACAACAAAGAACATTATGAATTAGATATTATTTCAATTGCATACCCCATTGATGGTGGAATTGTAAGCCTCCGTTTGTCCCCCACACGCATGCCTGTGATTCAACAAATCAACAAACAGAAAAAGAAGTAAACACATTGAAGATATATTTACAATTCAACAATGATAGATCATGCAAAATCTTGATCATTCAGAGAATACCATTGACCCCAACATCCCATCCCTTAATAACTTGTCCTATGCCTGCAAGATCAAAAGAAAATAATTAAACAGTGGTATACAAAATCAAGTTTTAATCCTGTTGACTCTTGATAAGACGGTACCTAGGCGGAATTTAAACGGCGCTCTTCCCACGTTAGAGTCAAATATTTTCCCATTCTTTAGTTTGCCAATATAGTGGACGCTGACCTGAAACCAAAATGACATTCAGTAATTGAAAATTTAATATAAATCCAATAATTTTGAAGTCATCCATTAAACCTGTATTAGGATTTTATGTATGCCAATTTTTGTGATGTCTAGGGATACAACTATTGTTGGTGTTATTGGTACAACCCAAAATCTAAAACGAAAGTAAATGGTATGAATAATAGACTCAAACTCCATCACATGTGTGGCATATTCATTTCAAACACGATTAAAGCACTGTATGATAAAAGCAACAGACCAAACAGTGTTAATTGGCCGGTGACTTACCAAGGCACTTCCATTATCTAATCATTCTTCAACAATGTTCTCACCTCGCTAAACATGCAAGACATAATAAATAAAAGCAAATGTCTAGAACCACAGAGAAAAGAAAAGCAAGCAGTAAAAAGATCATTTATGTGAGGTAAAAAAACTGTAAGGCCTTGACACGGTTGGTCAAATTAAACAAACAGAATTTAGAAGACAAATAATGACCTGTTTTCCCTGAGAAGCTCTTTTTCCATCAGGCTTTCCCATTGCTACCTCCTCAATAACCAATCCGTTTGGAAATGATCTCACTTGAGAAGGTTTAGCTGCAGTTTGTTCTTGCATGGGTGAAACAGTCTGATCTGTTTTCTTGTCCCCTTCACTCCCCTCAGCCTTCTTCTTCTTCTTTTGTTTCTTTTTTTTCTTCTCAGAGTGATTTTCATCTGGTACATTGTCTGCATCATTGTCAAGGTCCCTGCACACTTATACAACAACATGCTCAAGAAACTATACCTGTAAATTATGCTAATACTAGCATATTAACATCAGAAAATGTGACAGACAGGTCTTCATTTAACAAAGTGAGTGCATAAATTTGTTAAGTGAAAGATACATAAATGTATACCTTAAGCCATTTCCAAGGTTTTATATTATAATTGTTTATTCTTGATGTTTGAATGTGTTTATAGGTTATATCTCTCACTTCCTAGAGTGGAGAACACTTAATCAATCAGCGGAAAATGCAGGATACAATATCTCATCATACTGTACAGGCAATCAAGAAGAATAAAAATAGAATTGGGGACAGAAATAATTCCTATAGACAAACACAGAGCTAGTAACCAATGAACACAAAATGGCTAATCACCATGGAATAAAGAACTGGCCCTCCCTATTCAAAGAATACACTCAAAAAAGAATTTTGGCAATGTTGTCATCTTCAATATTCAATAGTAACAGTGTAATAATGTGCAGGCTTAAAGAGCACAAAATAGCAGATGAAAATTCTCACTTCTGTTTCCTGTTGTGGCTCTTCAACTCCTGCTGATTTTCACCCTCAGAGAGATCCTCAGTCTCGTTACTGGTAAAAACTTTATTAACTTGTCCCCGTTCACCATTTTCTTTTTGCTTCTTCTTCTTCTTTTTCTTCTTTTTCCTAAAATCAAAATTAGAAGCCACTTATATAACATGATAAATCCACTACTAGCAGGCTCCATTGTTTATCATAAATCTAAGCTAACACGATGACACAACTCAATTTCTCACTGCAAGTACAAATCAACAATAGATGGTCCCATCCAAAATCTCTTAACCTAATAGCACACCCACTTTAAAAAAGAGCAAGAAAAAGATCAAGTCCTTGTTTGAACAAGGCCTCCTTTTTCAAATGTTATATAAAAAAGTGACATCTCCAAAGAAGAAAAAAAGGAGCAATTGGATAATTACAATCAATAGACTGATAAACTCACTTCTCTGGTTGATCATCTTGGTCGACACTTTTAACTTTTCTTTTTTTCCCAGTACCATCATCACTGATGTCTTTGGCTTTCTTCTTCTCAGAGTTTTCACTTGTTTTCTTATCCGTCTCTTCATCTGCTCCCAATTCGGAATCTTGAGAAGTTCCTTTGCTTTTACGCGAGCTAGAAATCATAAAGCCATCTTCATCTTCACTTTCCAAGACTGAGACACTAGCACCATTCTTGACAACAATTTGTCGCTCAGAGTTACTTGATTGACCCTTTTTCTTTAGTTGTTTCGACCGATCATTCCCATTTGTTGGTTTCTCATCATCCACTATCTCCTCAATCACAACTAAATTAACAAAGCATATAAAACATCAAGAGGCAAACATCTTAAGTGTCATCAAATCTTATACTGAAGGGTTGGAAGATAAACATATGGAGCAAATATACTGCACAAATGAGAAAGCGCCAATACATAAACCAATTGAGATCTAAATTGCTTCTATGTCAACAGTAAATCTATAATAGCCCAGTAGAAGTGCTTGTAAACCATTTTTCTGGAATGACCATGACTGAGTATGCATGTTTAGTAACCAACCATTTTACAGCAAAGATTTCTTGGGTCGTTCCTAATTTAACAGTTTCCAGACATCCAAAATGCAATTTTAGGCTATTTGGTAAAAGAAAAAATTATCAAGTTTACCTAAATTTTTTTTTGCTGTCAAGAAAAGACAAAATCTTCTTAAATTCAGTAAAATTTCTTCTTGTCAACAATCCTTTCATGAAAGGCCTAAATTTGGACGTCAGTTGTAACTACATTTAAAGGTAATAAATACGATAAAATTATATTTCAAAACTATTTGAAACTTCATCAAGTCAACTAAATTGTTCTTTTGCTGTCAAGAAGAGACAAAATCTTCTTAAATTTAGTACAGCTTCTTCTTTTCAACAATCCTTTCATGAAGGTTCTAAATTTGGAGGTCAATTGTCACTATATTTAAAGGAAATAAATAGGATAAAATTAGTATATCAAAACTATTTGAAACTTCATCACGTTTGGAAGGTTGTAGAAAATCTTAAAGTTTCATTTTCAAGAGCGAAAATTTTCAATGGCAAATTACCTCCACTGTTACGGGCAGGTGAAGGTGGGAATAAGTCATCATCATCAACGAAGTCATCCTCATACTCATCTCCAGTATCAAATTCAGAGGACTCATCTGTATCAGTCTCCATGATATCCTCCCCATAAGAATCACTTCATATTAAGTAAAGGAAATTCAATATAACAACAAAATGACCTCCATTATATTTGAATAATACTTTTGGCACACAATTAAACAAAATAAAATATCAATAGCAAAGGAATAGTAAAAAAAGATACGAATCATATTCATCTCGAAGGTGATCTCCATCATCAGCCACAAAGTAGCCAGAAAGATGGATGCTTCTTGGACCAATTACTGAGAAGGCTACCAAATCATCCTCGTCGAATTCAAGATTCAAGGAGCAAGATTCATTCTTATTTGGCAATAAAGAACATAAGAATATTGGATTCTTATCTCCTACAGAGCACTGAAGTATGGTCTTCTCTGTTGACGAACCAAGGCCTAAAGTTGCCTGAATCATCACATAAAACATAATAAACATAGGATTACACAACTTTCAACAGATCAACTAAGATCAATAGACAAACAAAGATGTACAAACTATCAAAAATCAATTAAAAAAACTACTCTTTCAATAGACACTAATGCACCAACAAAAGTCTAAAACCATCAAAACTAGTAAGTCTAAACCAGTTACATATGCTCATTTGAGCCTCTCTATAATCACGACCACCTACAACATGTAGCTCAATGTCAGTATCAAAAGTATGCTTCCTCTAGACCGCTAATTACATTTTCCCGTCAGTAAACAGAGCCGTAAGACTGCTTCAAGTTTTAGCCAGATGCAAAAAGGAAGTACAGGGCCCATCAGGGTGCACAAGCTTCAAATTTTTAACGATATCAAGTCAAAAAAATTAATTTCAGAAAATGCTCAGAGTTGTTCGCAATCACATTATTTACTTAGATTGCATGTCAGCATTGTCAACAAAAAGAAAAATAAAATAATATATTCAATTTAAACATTTTACAAAATAAATGGTTAATCGGAATGAGACAGATGCAATAAATCAATTGTATAACAGTATTGATGAATTTTCAAGCCATACTAATATCAAGCCACGTATCAGCACAAAAAAAAAAAAATTATGCATCTTCCATGGCATGAACAAAATACCATAAAGTTTTATGAATTTGGAAAAATAATCTCTATAGACATACAAAATCATCTGTGACATCCAATGACCTCATACATATAGCCACTAAGCCTAATCCTAAACACACATATCCTCTATCCTATTTCACCCTACTTTATCTAGAGTATATCCATCAGATAATTTGAAAGAGCCAGTTTAATATATATCCAAAACATAAATTATTACAGCAAAGTGATCATAAAAAGAAATGCTGAAAATGCAAAATTTAAACAAGAAATGGAAATTTAATATGGGTTAATGTCTATTAAAACAGGTACATGCCTGAGTTACATGCAGCGTTCCTTGCACGTTATCAGAAGATAAGGATGAGGTTTTCCAGGTTTCACTTCGATTCCTGATATAAGGAAATCAACAAAAACACAAAAATAATCTTGAAATCGAATCGTTCAGGAACAAAATCGGAACTCAATACTCTTAATAAAATGATCATTTATTTTCTTGTTTCTTTCTCAAGGTTTCTTGGCAAACAAACACATTTAACAAAAACAAATTCAGTGGAGGGAAATTGAAATGCTCTGGGAGTTTATGGAGAACTGACCCCAGAAACCCATTTTTCGGTTGCACTTGGTCCAGAGAATTGTGTTAATTTGAGCACTTTCTCTAAAACCCTAGAAGACACCTCACTGCAAGCTGACAAACCCTAACTTACAGAAGGTTTTATATATGTTACCAATGGGTCTCATGTCCTTACACATTGAAATCAAAAAATTTAAGACCCCGAAGTTTAGTGTCAATTAGATCCAAATACTCTAAAAAATTAACTGTAAACCCAACTTACAATAAAGTGACATTAAACGGAACTGTATGGATGAGAGTGATTTATGATATTAATAAATTAAACTAGAAACCCAAACTTTAAAACAACTGATATTAAAAGTGCTAGTAAAAATTACATTAGACCATTGTGGATTTAATTATTTAATTTTATATTTTAATGATAAGTTTTGGTGTATTCTCACATCTTTTATTGCTAGCAAATAAATATATGTTAGTATATAAGCTTTAACTCTCCTTATTACGCATTATAGATTAAGGATGTTTGTACACACTGATTAAGAACTCGCCCAGCCGATTTACCGTTAGGCTGGGACCTAGGCCTTCAACCGGTTTAAACCTGCAAAGGCAGAAAAATCGGCCCTCAAAATTGCAAAACACCCTTGCTCCTTCCTCACCCCCTCTCACATTCCGACACTTTCTCCCTCATTTCAGCAAATTTCGGTGCCTTAAATCACCCCCGAACCCTGGCCTCACTAGACATCCCACTCCCCACCAAAACCCCAACATCCTCGACCTTGATTGCTCGTTGATCATCACCTGTTTGTATGGGTGTTTTGTTAGATTTCAAACCTGAAAGGACTGATGTGTACTTATTACGATGTGTTGCTATATTTTAAACCAACTGGATTGACAGAAAATGTCAATCAAACCGTGACCCGGTCCCTAGCCGAGTTGTCACACGGGCTGGGTTCCTAATCATTGTTTGTATGAACTCACCATACATATTGGAAAAAGTAGACAATATTGTACTTTGTTATGTCTCTTGGCATTTGATCAATCTCAAAAGTGGATTGTATGGTTAGGGCTAATTTTTGACATGACACAAATTCAACATAATTTAAATGGAATATGGCTGATCTTAATCGTATTGTGTCCTTTGGTATTGACAAATTCAACCTGATTTTATCATGTTGTATTTGGGTTGAAGAGTCTAAGTTACAACTCATTCAGTGACACAATTAACCATTTGTAACACGATGATTTGTTATGATACGAATGTCCTATTATACAGTTAAGACGTGATTAATAAACATGTTAAATAAGTTAAATATGTGATAAACAAGTTAAATCGTGTTATGACAAACGGACATGAATACAATGTGTTTGTATTGTACTTAATTTGTGACATAAATGTCTTCTTTTTTCTTTTCTTTCTTTTTCATTGAATTCAGATAATATAAATATTTATTAATTTTAAAAGAAATTGTGTGTCACAAACTTGACATTCATACGTCCGTTAGTTTTGGGGGAAGAATGTTAATTTATCTTAACATTGGGTTCACGAACATGCTAGAATCTACGGTCTGCGAAATTATATTATAACTCAGTGTGTTAATTTTCAAACCCTTCCAAATATGTAGGGGACCTGGATGTTCTGCCATATTCATGTCTTACCATAAATTATTGAGTAATGCTAAGTTCACCGAAATAGTATACCGAATTTTGTACCAAATGACGTGGCATAATTATGACTGTTGATATTTTTAATTTACTATTAATAGCGGTCAAGATTTTACCATGTCATTCGGTGCTGAATTCGGTGATAACCTTTGGTGACTATATCTTTTCCGTAATTATTATATTTAAAGATTTGGCGCAAATGTCCACTCTGGTTTTATAATCTCTTACCTAAATTAACGAAAAGTTCACGTTTATAGTACCTTTGAATGATCGCCATGATCCTCTAGGACGAAAGTACCTCTCTTTATGTGAAGAATATGCAATTTATATTTGTGGTGTGCGTGTATGTTTGAGATTTGAAATAACGGGTATAAAAAAATTCATGATATTTTTTTGAGAAATGCTTTTTCTTTAATAAAAAAGGGTTTTACAATAAAACAGTCTAATTAAATATAAGGATTATTGCAGTCTCATACTGATTAGACACGCTCCCAACCTACTAGTTTATAAAAGAAAGTAATTATTTCATTCAACACCGCTTTACTAGGTAGGAGTCAATCCCACCTCAAATCACTTGACCTTATTACCCCGTTTGAACTATGGGTGTTCGGTTCCGGTACCCTGCACTTTTTGAAGGAACCGAACCAGAACCGACGGTTCCTTGAAATTTGTAACTAGAACCGGAACCGTCCCTAGATACCTAGAACCAGAACCTGTAACAATGGTTCCGGTTTCGATTTTGGTACCCTGTAAAATTTTATGAGCCCCCAAAATTGTTTAAAATGGCAAAAAATCCTTAAACTTACAAATACCCCCCCACCTGGCACTTGTTAACAAAAATAATTACAAATTATAAATTCAAAATTACAAACTCCATTACTTGTAAAGGTAGATTCTCAAAAGTCAAACCAACTTACATTAAATGTTATGAAATATAAATATAATGTATTCACATTACTTTTTCTACAAAGTTTTTATTAACCCTCCTAATCTTTAATTTTATTTTATATTAGTCTCGGTTCCGATTCTTGTTCCTAACTATAGAACCAGAACCGGAACCGCATAGTAACGGTTCCAAAAATTTGGAACCGAACCTACCCATTGCCGATTGATTCTAGATAGGAATCGGAACCAAACCCAGGGTACCCGCTGGTTTCGGTTCCAATCGGTTCTTTTTGAACACCCTTAGTTTGAAGTAACGCCCAAAGCCTCTTTGGGTAGGAGTCAGACCCACTTCAAATCTATCAAAGATGACAATAGAACCCTTTGAGTAGGTCTTCTTGTTATCCGTCATTCTATCCTACTTGGGATTTGGTTTCCATTTCACACCTCATCCTCCAAATTCTTTAAGTGAGGCGGGATGGGAACTCCCCACATAGAGCGAGCGTTCCTAAACCCCACTCCATTTCTTATTTATTTAATTAGAAAATAATAAATAATTACATTAAAAATAAAGGCATTATAATTATAAATTAGAACTACATAGTATTGATATTTAAAAAAAATAAAAAAAAATCATAACATATTGTAACAATATTAAAAGTAAAACTTTAAACAGTGATAGCCAAAGTAATAATAAAAAAATAGACTAAATTGTAAAATAATTTATAATATGCCACAGCATCGTATATTTCGTTGCGTCTTCTTGATATCTCCTCCCAAGAATCATTAATACATTATTTCTTATAAAATGTAAAATTAAACATACATGATCTAAATCATCAAATTTTTGTAATGTGCAGCTTTTGATTGATGAACATAAATCTAATTTTGTAACAAACTCATAAGAAATTAGTCACGTAATGTTAATATAATGAAATATTAATATTTTATAAACATTATATTTAAACATAATTAGTAATATATATCACACACACACATATTATATATATATATATATATACTATATATATATATATATATATATATATATATATATATATATATAAAGCCCAACCCTTATGTGTTTGGTTGTTTTGTGACAAGATCCTACTAGTTTCAGAAATGCAACCCTAATCCTTGTGCGTTAGGCCTTTTTTGTAGTGAGCACCCGTTGATTTCGGAAATCTCATCAATTTAACCTCCAAGAAATATATGAACCCCTCAACATTGTTGACAAATGTTGGTGTTAGATTAATTGAATTTTGATGAATAGTTAAAACATCATTTTCTTACAAACGTAAACATAATAACCTAACCGTTTGTAAAAAATAGGGGTTAGGGTTACATTTCGGAAACAAGTGGATGCTCAATACAAAAAAGGTCAAACACACAAGAGTTTATATATCTATATAATGCTGAAGCAGACTACTTCTTCTAACGCCACGTAGGATTGATATATGATCGCCATGTAGGATGTCGTTAATTGGTCCACATGTTTGCTGTTTATTGGGCTTGTATAATAGGGATTATTCACATGTATTCAATACAAATCTTTCACATTCCTCTTTTAATTTGAGATCTTTTACATTCCTCTTTTAATTTGATAAATTACTAATGATGCACGTGTGTGTTATTGATTTCCATGAATATTAAGATATTGCTATAATAGAAATTATTCACATGCATTCAATTAATGTATTCAATACATATCTTTCACATTCCTCTTTCAATTTGAGATCTATATAATCCTGAAGCATTTACTATTTGAGCGCCATGTAGGACTATATAATTACTACAAGTGTCAGCATGTTATTGGTTTAGACGATAATTGTTGCAAGTGTATACATGTTATTGGTTTAGGTTATTTTGTATTATTAATAAAAGATACATTTAATGTTGTGTGGATGTTAAATGTTTTATTATTATTAGATCAAGAGAAACCCTTCACAATAACAGATAAATTCAATGTTTCGTGGAAATGTTTTATTATTTTTAGATTAAGAGAAACTCTTCAAATTCATAATAAATGTTTTATGATTATACGTTAGTTTTCATTGTTTATGTCTAATTGAATGTAGAGGGGTACAGAATATGAAAGGGTAGATATATAGATAGAAAAAGAAAACTTTTACAAATAACAATTAAAAATTGACTACCTCTTTTTTTTCAGATAAATCATATAACAAACTCTTAATATATTGACATATATATAGGATTCAAAGTAATGAATCATTTAACTGATACAACATATATTTTCACATTCATAAAATTCAATAATACATCTTATTAATCCATTAATATTCAACGTTCATTCATGCATATTAATTATTATTATTATTATTAATTAATATTAATATTTTTATACCCATTAATTATTATTAATATTAATATATCTTTACCCCTTTACATTCAATTAAACAAAAACAATGAATCAAACTAAATCCATCAAACAAAACCTATAATCATGCATATTAATTATTATTATTTATTA